AACTATCCTCCCCCCCCCACTCCAGCCAGCCCGACTCATCTGGAACCAGGACCCTGCCAGCGAGGGATCTTCCAGTGTCACAGGAAGCAGAAGGGACCCCCCACATACACAGCGGTGACCCTTTCCAGGGCATGGCTGTGGCAGAGAGGGGAAGGGGGCAGGAGGGGGACCCTGCCGAGGGGGAGCTGTGCCAGCTTCAATTCACTTGCTTTTTCCTACGAAACCGCCGGACTCCCCGGCTTTCCTTGCTGCTGCGCCTGGCGCTTCGGGTGGATTTTTAGGCCTTTCTCGGCTTGCAGAGGGGGAAGGGCTGGTCCGTCACCCCTGCCGCCTCCCCCAGGCGCTCCCCACAGCAATGGGGCCAGGGGCAGCTCCTGCCAGCACATGAGGGCAGCTTCAATTCACTTGCTTTTTCCTACGAAACCGCCGGACTCCCCGGCTTTCCTTGCTGCTGCGCCTGGCGCTTCGGGTGGATTTTTAGGCCTTTCTCGGCTTGCAGAGGGGGAAGGGCTGGTCCGTCACCCCTGCCGCCTCCCCCAGGCGCTCCCCACAGCAATGGGGCCAGGGGCAGCTCCTGCCAGCACATGAGGGTGAGGCCTGCTGACTCGGATGGGCCTTTTGCCTTGAGGGCGGAGGATGGAAAACGGGGGGGGCACGTCTCCCCCGTCACGGTGGTGGCAACTTCTGCCCCACATGTGGGGCGGATGCTCAGTGGCTTAATGCATGAGGCCAGGCCAGCGGAGGGCCTTGGGTGGGCAGCACCGCTTGGAATCTGCATGTCTCAGCACCCGGCCCCAGGAGACGAGCCCTTCTCCAGCCTCCGGGAAAGCCACATGTTCTATGTGCTGACAAAGCTCCCAAGCTCTACGCCCTCTGAATCTACCCTCTGTAAGGGGGCTGCCTAGGAGGGACAGGGAGGCAGGTGCATTGAGAGCAGGACTCACTCACAAGCTTTTGTATAGCAACCCCTCCCCTCCCCGCCGTACATGGAAAATACCTGACTCAACAATCCCCGCTGTGGCTTTGAGTTTAGTATTATAACAGATCCATAGCCAGGCAGGAATTCTGCTATTCTTGACCAGCGGATCTAATGTCACCGTGACAGTGGGGACAGAACTCTGACCTTCCGGATTCAAACACACACTTTGCGCCGTAGGAGAATCTCCGTGAGCGCTATGCAGTACAGGGCGTATGATAGTCAATAGCGCTGCTCAGGTTCCATCCAGCAGGAGGCAGCAGTCTCACATCCGCATTCATTGTGATAGGGTGAATCCACCTTGCCTTTCCCCCAGTGTATACCAAGCTGGGCACTATGGGAAAACTAGAATTTGCACGTTACTGGTTCTGGCAAACCAGGCGCTGTTAAGATGAAACAAACCGCAGTGGCCGATTGGGGTGTGGTCGCTTTGGCCTTGCATTTCAGGGTTGTCTGCCGCTGACGCCTGTCACTGTCCACGAAACAATCAAAGCACAAGTGTTGTGGTTTTTCCCTCTCCCAGGCAAATTAAAAAGGGACTGGAGTTTTCCACCCCCACGGTGAGGTCCTTGAGAGATTCCCCAGCCAGGGTCCCCCTCTGACATTCCCCCGAGAAAGGGGGAGCTGCCCTGTAGACGTGGGGTGACTAGCGCTGCCCTATAGGGCCCAATCCTGCGAGGGTCGGAGTGCCCTGAGCTGCCACTGCAATCAGCCCCCTGCAGGACGGGCCCGGTATCTTACATGGGAGAGAACTAGAGCAAGGGGGAGGAGCCTGGGGACAGGGGGCGGGGGCAGGAAAAGGGGCGGGGCTTTGGCTTCCTCCTGCTCTGCAGATGGGTGCTGCCTCCCAGGACAGGGCACGTGCAGGGGGTTGGGCTCGTTAACCCTGGTAGTGTGTGTTTCCCTAATTGCAGGCCCGGAGCAGAGCCCAGCCCGGTGGCTGGGGCTCTCCCGCCTCTCCCGCTCCTGCTGCGACGCTGATTCGCTCCGAGACGCCCGGGCGGGCCTTTGCTCTCAGCCGCATGCCTGGCTGGGCGATGGACGGACCTCGCCAGCGACCGGGGTGGGGGGCCCCTGGTCCCTCCGCTCTGGGGTTAGCAGCAGAGCTGACCAAGGGCTCTGTCCCTGGGGTTAGGGTCACATCGCAACTGGGAGGAGCCACAGGGGGCTCCCCAAATCCATGGGGGGCCTCCCTTCTGACCACTGGGGGTCGGGGGTCGGCTGGGGTTTGGCTAATGAAATAAAGGCTTTGCCGCTCATTGAGAATGAACCGAGGGCTCATGTCTTTGTACCTGGCTTCCGGGAGCCCCGACATTGTTTTTAGGCAGCCAGTCTGTGGTGCCAGGAGGGGGCCCAGCCGCCGGGGAGGGGGGTGGGACCTGCACGCCTGCTCCTCTGGGATCGCTCAGCTCCCTGTGCCACATGTGGGGCAAACACAGCCTGGATCACACCC